GTTATGTATACGAACATATGTTTGCAAAATTCCTGGTGTTTTCCCAAAATGTTTCATTTTTCATCATGTATGTGGGACCACATCAGGTATTTCTTGGGGTTATTATGACTAGCATATCTTAAAGGATAATTAAAAGATATATATCACCTGAGGAGACTCTAATAGAATTTTTCATTTTAAAAATTCTGGGAAAATCCAAGCTGGCATAATGAAAGACTTATCAAGATAATCCAGTCTATGAAATTAACCTCAGGAAGTGTTTTTCATGCTTAGAAATGATCCTTCATGATTTTCCATTCTTATATTTTTAAATTACTATGAAAATAACATGGGAATTTTATCTAAATATTTCCCAAAAGCCTTCTTATTACGAGGACACTGAGGGAGATTAACAATGTTAGCTAGGATGAGATAAAATTAGTTCAGTGTATGAAACTGTGTTACTCATGCTGTAAATTATTGGCATGGAGATCTGAGCCGTGAAATTTAATAAACATACACAAAAATGACACACTATCTTTTCTTATTAATTGCCAGGTCATTCCAAATTCAGGAATAGATGATGGTCTAGCAGCTTAATTCAATCCAAGACATTATTAAAAATTATTAATACCCTTAAATAATTTAATACCTTTAGATATTAATGCATAACAATAAAAGAAAGTCTTTGTTCAGAAAGTTTATAAAAATAATGAGGCAAATCAAACACATTAAAAATTTCATGAAGCTTACTATGTAACTTTCCACTTTAATTTTTTACTTAAACTCAAATTATGAGAGAAGACTATCATTTTTTTACTGGGGGGTCAGCAACCCCCAGACATTTCAAAGGAATAACATGAGGATTTCAAGAGACAAAATGAAAAGAGAGTAGAAAAGAACAGTTAAATATGAATTCCCTAGTTGCCATCTGGACTAAGGGCTCATGACTACACGTATTACCTTAAAAAACTTGAGGCCTGAATGGGGCATCTGTAAGACTAACTTTATGAAAAACTCAAATATAGTCTTGAAGCCCTGATTAGCAATACATGAAAATTTTTGTTTAAGATATAAAATGTCTTAGTAACATTAAACTCTAAAAATGAATATATTCAGCTTCTCTTTTCCAACTTAGATTAGAAAAATGGAAAGTTATATCAGCGTATGCTATGAATTTTTATTTCAATAAGATTTCACATATAGGGTGGCTATAAAATTCACGTGCAGTTTAAATAGTTGTAACTGTAATAGTTGTAACTATTTAAATTATATGCTAATTTTATGACCACCCTGTATATTCCACATTTAAGGAAAAGACATTAGCAACAAGAGGACCAACAAGAAAGCTACCTTAAACACACAACAAAGAAGCTCCTATAATGTTTATTATTAACCTCCATGCAATAAGATTTAGAGCTAGTAAATACACACACACACACACATATACATGCTCGCATAAAACAAAATGTCTATTAACCTCCACATAATGTGTAATATCAGATAAATAAATGAGTAGTAAACTAGTTCTGGTATTCTGTCTGTCCCAGACAGCTATGCTCAAGAATGTAAAAGGGACCTAGACACTAGATATTCCTAAGTGCACTGTGCTGCTTGGAAACACTTCAAATGCCGTTATCTTAAGCTGGACACTGTGGTTCATGTCTGTAATCCCAGTACTCTGGGAGACTGAGGCAGGGAGATTACCTGAGCTCACAAGTTCAACACTAGCCTGAGCCAGAGCAAGACCTCATCTCTTATAAAAAAAAAAAAAAAAATAGCTGGGAGTGGCACCTGTGGCTCAAAGGAGTAGGGTGCCGACCCCATATACTGGAGGTGGCAGGTTCAAACCCAGCCCTGGCCAAAAAAATGCAAAAAAAAGAAAAAAAAAATAGCTGGGCATTGTGGCAGGCACCTGTAGTCCCAGCTACGTGGGAGGCTGAGGCAAGAGAATTTTTTGAACCCCAGAGTTTGAGGTTGTTGTCAACTATGCCACTACAGCACTCTGCTGAGGGTGAGAAAGTAAAACTATGTCTCCAAAAATAAAAAATAAAAAATCCCCATTATCTTCTATTATCATCAAAATATCTTGTGGACAGTGATCTTAGAAATACAGTAAGGTGATAACTATATTCCTCAACTATCGATATGATGTGACAAGATAAATAAATGACTACAGTATTTTGTTTCAGTTTACCTACTACTACAAATAGATCATGGACCAATTTGCAACAAATAAGCCCTAAATGAAAAATGAACTATGAGTAATGAACTGTTTCTACCAAATCTTTTAAGTAGGTAGCATAAACCAATATTACCAAAAAATGGAATTACAAAGACTGATAAGTAGTACAAACAAGCTTTAGACTTCAAAGTCTATACAGTGCATCTTACAAAGGTACATGTGAAATTTACTAAATGTAGAATATAAATGTCTTAACATAATAACTAAGAAAATGCCATGAAGGCTATGTTAAACAGTTTGATAAAAATATTTCAAATTGTATATAAAACCACCATATAGTACCCCATGATTGCACTGATGTACACAACTATGATTTAATACAAAAAAAAAGTTTATAAGATAGTATAGCAGGTATGAGATATGAACTTATCATAGATGTTCATATAGCTTCTTAAGCAATTTTACTCGTATCATGCATAAACTAATTAAAATTAATGACAAAAACATCACAAAATTCTGAAACATAATCAGTACAGATATGATACAATACTTGTAAGTGACATATACATGACAAATGTAACAGCAATATGCCTGGAGAGCTGTAGTGTGATGAACTCAAGAGATCAAGTAAAAGCTTGGGAACATAAGACATGCTAAATGATTACACAAAAGCACGGGTCAGAAAACTGAAGCCCACTCTGTTTCTGTAAGGCCCATGAACTAAGAAGTGATTCATTTGAAGATTTACAATTTGATGATAGGGAATACTAACTTTGAACCCAAATTAAGAGAAATGTTAAATCCCCAAAGGAGAACTCGATTCTTTTGATTAGTAATAGGCTTGCATTACAAAAAAAATTTTACTCAATTACACTTTTAATGTCATCAACTAAAAAATAGAAAAATGTGTTTTCTCTTTTGTTTTGAAGTACCATATGACATCCTTTGTTTTTTAGCCCACAAAACCTAAAATATTTTTCCTGATTCTTTACATAAAAACATTGGCTAACCTCAGTGTTAGACGATTAATTTAAATACTAGGGAGCTCATAGGCTGTTAGGGAACAAAGACAGCAAACTATTCAAACTTACATCTTAGCAGGAATCAGGGAGGAAGTAGTTTTGTTAAAAAAGGTTAAAGGTTCAGTCTGAAACCAGAAGATAGTTACCAAGAAACCCTTCAAATACCATTGTGTCTCAGCTGTAAATCGTAAGAAACTATACGAATAGTAAGAAAAGATCACTGATCACCAACTGGTCTTTTCAATTACACCTGTATGCACTGACACCTCGAAAATTACCTTTGATTTAAGAAAAACACTTTTATAGAATAAAGTATAAGGACTTTGAAATCACTCAATCACAGTTATGTGTTCCCCTGGTGTTAGTTACTGAGGAGTTATGGCTTAGTATGTGGATCACTATGGAATTTTTGAGACAGACTGTGTTATGGTCCATTATTTCACTTTTAAAAAACATAGCTGACAGCATCCTTTCTGATTCACCCATGCAAGATTCAACTTGCTAGCCTTATCAGTATGCTGTGAGGGCTTCATTTGTTCTCATTCATGTGGATTTTACATTTTTTGATTTTTGTGTATCTCAAAACTTTTGTTAATGACTCATACATAACAAAAACTAAATTCAAGCTGTCCAAATACACAGGGGTTGTATTCCAACAATTTGATGCCGGAAGTGTTCAAGAAAACATTGAAACCATCTGTCAAGAATAAAACTAAAAGGCTTTTTCAATGGATGGAGGATAATACTATATGAACTCGAAGGAGATTTTCAATTTTAAAATTCTATGATAAATCTGAGAAAAGTTACAAATAAAGGCCAAAAGATAACAGCTATTACTGCTGTGGCCAAACTAAAATAAATTAATGCAGTGGTTAGGCAACTGATTCTTTTTTTTTTTTTTTTTTAAAGGTGTGGAGGCTTCCTTTAAGATATCAAATACTAAACACTTTTAAAAATTACACACACACAAAAATCAATTAAAATCTCAGCTCTACCGTTCTTAAAAGAAAACATTAATTCTAAGATAATATTTTAAAACTGTTGTCAATAAAGGTACTGACAGACTCAAACCACAAGTCAAAATTCATTATTTTATTTTATAAATACTGAACAAATACAAGTATATACTGTTTGCTCCACAAGAGTACTGGGAGAAAAGAATACACGGTGAGCAAAAACAGTGTAGCTTCTGCTTTTATTCAGCTTGCCTATACTCTAGTGAGCTTATAGCCTAACTTAGCTGTTAAGTATTTTAAAAATATATCCCTCTCTTGCATTGGACATATACAAAATAGCTTTTCAATGGTCAAACAACAGAAAAGTAACTAAACTAAAAACAAAAGAGGGTGGGGGGGAGGGGTTCTTATAGCAGCTCTACAGATGAACTTCCAATGTGACTTTGGTTTTTTTTTTTTTTTTGGAGACAGAGCCTCAAGCTGTCCCCCTGGGTAGAGTGCTGTGTCATCAAAGCTCACAGCAACCTCCAACTCCTGGGCTCAAGCGTGTCTCCTGCCTCAGCCTCCCAAGTAAGCTGGGATCACAGGCGCCCGCCACAACGCCCAGCTGTTTTTTGGTTGCAGCCATCATTGTTGTTTGGTGGGCCAGGCTGGATTTGAACCTGCCACCTTAGGTGTATGTGGCTGATGCCTTAGTCACCTGAGCCACAGGCGCGGAGCCCTAATGTGACTTTGAGTTGTTTACTCTACTTTTTAAGTTTCTCTAGTGTGTGTGGTATGTATGTGCATGGTTGTGACATGTATTATTAAAATAGCACCAAAATTTCTTCCAGTTCAAACTTGATCCAACACTCTCACCTTGATTATTTCCACCAACTGATCTACCCCACTGTCCCCTGGAAATATTGGTTGTCCTAGCAACAGCTCAGCCAACACACAGCCAGCAGACCATACATCTGAAGAGAAAAGAAAACAAAAGCTTATTAATGCTTTGTTTGCTCGAGTGAAAAATATTTGTATAAATTTTCTAATTTTATTTTTATCAGAGCAAATATCACAAGGAAAAGATTGCACAACAGAGAAAAAAAGTCTTAAAACTTCCCTAATGCATCTGTAGTTAAATATTAAACTTACGAAAGAGAAAACAAAGTCAAAAGAAATACTCGAATAAAGGGTAAAGTCTATTATTATTAGACATCAGACAGTCAAGTCTTTAAATAACAAGACAGAGGATGACAGTACCAAAGCTAAGACATAACTATCTACTTGTAACACTTAAAAATAAGTCAAAGCAACAATCTCTGCACATTAGTAGGTGCTTACTGAAGAGCAGCAAAGATTTGATCTTCCACAGACATTAAGATTTCAGCCAATGCAAATTCTGAGGAAAATTTTTAAGACTTTAAATGGTTGACTTTTACGACGTAAGATGGGTAACAGAAAACGTGCTTATATGTATTAAAATTTTTAAATGCAATAGAATGGCAATATAAAGGAATATACATTATTTCATAAAATAAAGTGAATACAAATAATTCATTTTGCAGTCAAACTGGAAATCTCAATAAAACCTTTCATAATAATTTATCAACATATTTCAATAATTTAATAAATAAATTTAAGTAATAAACTTTAAAAAATAATTTAAAACATACATCCTAGCTTACCCAAGATAGTTTCTGGTTTATACCTATTGCCCTGGGATAAGTATTAATAGCACCCTCTTTTCCTTTTCAAAAGTATTACCATATTAGAAGATAAATTATATGATCATTCTATTTTAAGTCTGCTATTAAGACTTCTTGCAAGGAAAGGCTGCTTTTCAGTTTCCAAATTTCTGTGATTTCTGGGTTTTGCATTTACCAATGCCCAAGTGCTTTAGGGAAATGAACATAAATCATTGCTGTACTCGTCTATCTACTAGCAGGGAAGGAGGATAGAGAATGTCATGGAGACAACAAGTAATTTAAGAGGTCTGATGTGGTAAGATGAGCTATCAAGAAGGATTAGAAATCACTGCTCCAGTGACTACTTTTTTACTGACCTAGAAAAATGACACAGTATTAAGAAACTTAAGTTGATTTTGTCCAATTCCAAGTAATGATAACTAAAACCAAGACACCTACTTTGCAAAAGGAGACCAAGACAGTCCTACCTGATAAATTAGAAAATTGCTAACTGAAAGAAATATAAAAACTTGTGCCAGGGCATTTTTTTTCTTTACTCAAATTTTTTTCTATTACTTTAGTAACAGTAATACTAACTCTAATAGCTAAGTAGAAAAGATATATCTCCTTATTAATGTAAATGATTTGACCTAGTTTTAAAAATATCCCTTTACCTAGCTAATTAGATAGCAAGTAATATGCATGCGCTCCTTTCCACTGTAATACCAAATAATCCATCTGAGGAGACAAGGAGGAAAAAACTGCAAGGGAATAATCATACCTTCATAAAAACCCCCAACAATGGGTAATACTTTCATAGGCAGTGAACAGACGGCCTTGTTAGAATAACAGAAAAACATCAGTAACAGAATAAGTTATCTAACTCATAGTTTCTTAGTAAGGGCTAAGATCAACCATACGAGCTTTCTCTTTCTCTCTCTCTCCCTTGCTGACAGGCATCCTGTGGGGGTTCTGTTCTCACAGTATCTGAAAAGAGCTGACCAGATAGAAAGGAAGTGTAAATAAACTCTTTCTCTTTTACATTCACTAGACCAGTGGTTTCCAACATTTTTGGCACCAGGGACAGGTTCCATGGAAGACTATTTTTCCACAGATAGGCTGGGGCAGTGGGGGTAAATTCTCATAAGGCATACACAACCTAGATCCTTTGGATGCACAGTTTACAGTAGGGTTCATGTTTTTGTGAGAATCTGATGCCACTGCAGATACGATGGGAGGCAGAGCTCAGGTGGTGAAGTGAGAGATAGGGAGCGGGTGTAAATACAGATTAAGTTTCACTCACCACTGCTCACCTGCTGCCTACAGCCTGGTTCCTAACAGGCCACAGACTGGTACCTGGCCTGGGAATTGGGGACTGCAGCACTCACTAGACCTACTGACTAAAAACTGTCTGTTAGAACCAGCTTTTTATAGTCATGAAGATTTTCTGAACAGACAGTAGGGGCAAGGGATAGGGGTACAAGTTTCAGGCCTCAGTTCCTGCCCCAAAACCATATGCAAGGGCAGAAGCACTGAAAGATCATAATCACCAACAATAACCCAGCTCCAAAGGGAAGGCAGCCATCTCTGTTATCAGCCTGCCTCTAAGAAGAGAGAATAACCATAACCTGCCAATTTGGCTACAGCCATATCTTTTTCACGCCCTTTGCAATCTCTCTGTAAAAGGCCTGAGCACTGATTCTCTTTGCCAGCACTATCTCTCTCTTTTTCACTTCTGTGTTGGCCCTTCTCTATCTGGAAAAGTAAAATGAACTTTTTCTTCTTTCTATCCTAATCTTTGGAGACATTTTTCTCAAAGCCCATGTTTATTAGCTTACACCCTAACAGGCAGCATTCAGCTACAAATTTAGAAGACAAAAAGCAAAACATAAGGAATACTACTGCCAATAAGTTATCACAGAAATTTATAATCAAAAGATTCAGGTGACAGTGAATAATATCAGTGATTTTTACTTTATATTAAATCAGACAAATTACTAAAAACAAGGTATAATTATCATTCTCTTTCTGGGAGATACCAAATCTGTTCTTAGTTCATAGGACAAATGGATGAAATTCTCCAAAGAGAATAAATCTTCCACTAAATCAAAAAACCAAAAACCCCAGTTCTTTTGCCTACTGAATTTTAGTTATTTGGGATTTAAACTAAAATAGCATTCACACTTTAATTCATGGGAAAACGATTTTTCAAGACCATATGGTTTAACATACTTCCCACTTAAAGAAATTCATGTACAATAAAGTTAAATATAGAAGAACTTTTGTAAGCTGACCACACAAGGGACTGTAACAAACCAGTCACCATACAGAGGTAGTCAACATAAGGAAGGAGGCCTACTGTACTGATACATACATGTCTCGTCTATGAATAACATTTTTAAGGGTATGCAAGGTCAATTCCTTGTTCTACAAAAAAGTCTTTTGTTCTCATTTTGCCATTTCTCAGTAAAACAATATGATCAGAGCCATCAGCCTTAGCTCTAGTTATATTCAAACAACCTTGTCAGAATGATCTACTCTTTCATTTCAAACACTATTGCTCAAAACATTTCAAAAACATACCTGTTGTGTATACTTGTCAAATCTCTGCATCTGGTCTGTGTACACAGCATTAAGAAGCAAGTATCCTAACTCTAAAAATGCAGCCAAATTTAGGCTTGTTAGAGCTCCGAAAACCTCATTTTATATAAACGTTCCCTAATATGTTAGATGATATAGTTATGACTTTATAAGAAAAATCAAACTGCCACTATTTTAGGTGTCCTGGGCATAACTCATCCCAGTACCCAGTATAAAATCAGTATGATACATATATCTGAATAAAATATAAAGCAGCTGAGAAACTCAATGACATTCCCAAAGACAAAAGGCCGAAATTTGCTCTTGAGGAAGAGTTAACAAATAACCACACACACACACAATCTTACATTTTTTAGACTAACATTGACTTTTTAAAGATTAACATTAGACTTTGACTAACATTTTATTTAATCCTACTGCCACTCAGAAAGGCACGAAGTACTATTAGTAATCTTCACTTTAGCCCTGTAGTAAATGTTGAATTCAAATCCAAGTTGACTATAAGCAAAATACTCTTTGTACTATTTCTCATTTGCCCATTAACATATGCCATATATTACAGCTATGATCTACAAGAGAAGATCATGAAGATTAAAACTAATTGTTTCTATTCCAGTCCCTCTGTCACAAAATACCTTGAGTGAAGACTTCTATAGACTCAGTGGATTTAGAACAACTACTAATAATTAAGGCCGATGTGAAACTAAATAACAAACTGAAGTGTTGTATTATAAAAGTATCAACAATATAGTTATCCTGCCTTACATTATTAATTTAATGAAATAACTTTATTAATTAACAAATACTCCAAATAGTAATAATGCTCAGAAGTATTTCAGGACGATCTTAAATAAGCAAGTTAAAAACAAAAGGTGCACTTAGGTTTTACTTGAAACCTTATGCTAAACACAAATGTATTAGCTTTATAATTCTCACAGTGCAAAAATTAAAAAGCATAGTAAATGTATCTTACATTCTAAAAGGTGAAATTTGAAAAATTCTCTACAGGCATACCTCAGAGATACTGCAGATTTGGTTCCAGATCACTGCAATAATGTGAATCTCACAATAAAGTGAGTCACACAATTTTGGGGGAGTTTCTAATGCATATAAAACTTATGTCTACACTATACTGTAATCTGTTAAGTATATACATTAACTAAAAAATACTTTATTGCTAAAAAATGTCAATAATCATCTGAACCTTCAGCAAGTCATAATCTTTTTGATGGTAGAGGGTCTTGCTTCAATGATGATGGCTGCTGAACGCTGGATTGGCTGTGGCAGTTTCTTAAAATAAGACAACCACTAAGTGTATTGTATCAATTGACTCTTCCTTTCACAAAAGTCTTCTCTGCAGTATAAGATGCTATTTGATAGCACTTTACCCACATCAGAACTATCCAAATTGGAGTTGACTTTCTCAAAGCCTATTATCAACAAAGATCAGGAATATTTTAAATTCTCTGTTGTCATTTCAACAACGTTCACAGTATCTGTACTAGGACTAAGTTCCATCTCAAGAAATCACTCATTTGTAAGAAGCAACACCTCAAATTTAATAGTCAGATTACAGCAATTCAGTAACATTTTAAGGCTTCATTTTTAAATTCTAGTTTTCTTACTATTTCCACCACATCTGCAGTGACTTTCTCCATTTATATCTTGAACCCCTTGGTCACCCATGATGGTTTGAATCAACTTCTTCCAAACTCACGTTCACATCAAGTTTTGATCTCCTCCTCCCATGAATAATGAACGTACTTAATGGTACAGGCATATCTCATTATGCTAGATGATATAGTTTTGACTTTATTAGAAAAATCAAACTGCCATTATTTTAGGTATCTAGAATGATGAATCCTTTCTAGATGGTTTTCAATTGACTTTGCCCAGATTCATCATGAAAATCACTACCTATGGCAGCTATAGCCTTATGGGATGTGTTTCTTAAATAGGACTTGAAAGTCAAAACTATTCCTTGATTCATATGCTCAAAATTGGATATTGTGTTAGCTGGCACAAAAAATATTAATCTCCTTATGTATCTTCATCAGAACTCTTGGGTGACTAGGTATACTGTCAATGACCAGAGGGATCTTTTTTCTGACCAGTAGGTCTCAACAGTGGAATTAAAATATTTAATAAACTATGCTATGAACAGATGTACGCACATTGAGGTTTTATGTTTCCATTTACAGAACAATAGGCAGAGTAGATTTAGTATAATTCTTAAAAGCTTTAGATGTTCGGAATGGTATAAGCACTTGGCTTCAACTTAAGCCATCAATTGCATCTCTAGCTATCCAAGTCCTAGGCAGCATCTTCTTCCAAGAGACGGCTATTTCATCTACCATAAAAAGCTGTTGTTTAGTATAGCCAACCTCATCAATTATTTTTGCTGTTTCCTTTTTTTTTTTGAGACAGAGCCTCAAGCTGTTGCCCTGGGTAGAGTGCCGGGGCATCATAGCTCACAATAACCTCCAACTCCTGGGCTCAAGCGATTCTCCTGCCTCCACCTCCCAAGTAGCTGGGCTATAGATGCCAAAACACCCTGTTATTTTTTGGTTGCAGCCGTCACTGTTGTTTGGTGGGCCCAGGCTGGATTCAAACCCGTCAGCCCAGGTGTACGTGGCTGGCGCCTTAGCCACTTGAGCCACAGGCACCGAGTTCCCCACGCCTCCCACGCCCCCACTCCTTTTTTTTAAGAGACAAGGCCTTACTCTGTCACCCAGGATGGAATGCAGCAGTGTGACCATAGCTCATAGTAGCTTCGGGTTCCTGGGTTTAAGAAATCCTCCTGCCTCAGCCCTGCAACCAGCTGGGGCTACAGGAATGTGTACCACGATGCCCAGCTAATTCTTTTTATTTTTTGTAGAGAAGGTTTCGCTACATTACCCAGGCTAGTCTTACCATTCTTGGCTAAAGTGATTCTTCTGCCTTGCCCTACAGAACTAAGCTACCACACATGAACTTAATTAGCTGGATCTTCTCGATAACTTGCTGTAGCTTCAACATCAGCACCAGCTGCTCATCTTGTATTTTTCTGTTATAAAGACAGCTTCTTTCCTTAAACCTCATCAACCAACCTGTTAGCTTCTGCTGCTTCCTCACCTTTTCAGCCTTCACATAATTGAAAAGAGTTAGGGTAGGGCTTAAGGAGATGCTATGGCTGGTGTGATAGTCTATCCAGACCGCTACACCTTTCTTCATGTCAGCCATAATGCTATTTTGCTTTCTTATCATTTATGTGTTCATCAGAGTAGCACTTTTACTTTCCTTCAGGAATTTTTCCTTTGTAGTCACAACCTGGCATTTGGTAGCTGGCTTTGTATATACCTTCCTCATTAAGAAGAAGGTATCATTTTTACCTTTTGATTTAAAATGAAAGACAAGTGTTCCTTTCACTTGAGCACTTAGCATTATAGCATTAGTAAGTGGTCTAATGTTAATATTGTTGTGTCTCAGGGAATAAGGTACACCAAGGAGGAGAGCAATGAGGGAACTGTCAGTGGAGCAGTCAGCACACACACATCATTGATAGATTAAGTTCACTGTCTTACATGGGCATGTTTCATGGCATCTCAAAATAATTACAATAATAACTTCAAAGTTCACTGATTATAGATTAGATAATAATGATGATGATGGTGGAAAAGTTTGAAATGTTTCAAGAATTACCAAAACATGACACAGAGACACAGAGGGAGTACAGGTTGTTGGAAATATGGTGCTGACAGACTTGCTTAACACAGGGTTACCAGAAACCTTCAATTTATAAAATAAAATAAAATAAAAATATAATATCTGATAAGCACAATGAGATATGCCTGCACCATTTTTGCATTTCAACATTTAAGAAAAAACATCCATATTTCAATGGAAGTTAAAATTCAGATTAATAATATCAAATTACTAAAACTAGACAGTGCCTGTGGCTCAGTGAGTAGGGCGCCAGTCCCATATACCGAGGGTAGCAGGTTCAAACCCAGCCCTGGCCAAACTGCAACAAATAGTAGCTGAGTGTTGTGGCGGGTACCTGTAGTCCCAGCTACTCGGGACACTGAGGCAAGAGAATTGACTAAGTCCAAGAGCTAGAGGTTGCTGTGAGCTGTGATGCCACAGCACTCTACCGAGGGCAACAAAGTGAGACTCTGTCTCTAAATAAATAAATAAATAAAACAATTTACTAAAATTAATATTAAATTTAAAAGTATAAGCATTATATTCAGATTCAGTACTTACCTATACTAGAGGTATAATCAGTGGCTCCAAAGATCAACTCTGGTGCCCTATAGTACCGAGAACAGATATAGGAAACATTGGGTTCTCCTCGGACCAGCTGCTTTGCACTAATAAAAAAAAAATAAAAAGCAGAAATTCTTTAAATCTAAACCTTAAAAGAACCTAGACTGCCATCATTTATAGTATCAAATGTTTATCTAACCTTCACATCATCCCAATTGCATAAGATAGAAAAGAAGTACCTCTTTCCACTAAAAAGCATGTTAATAGGTAATATAATAAATATTCCCGCTCAAAAGAGAAAAAAAAATTGTCACTTACAATTTGACTTCTAACTCAAGGTGAATATCTCCTGGCTTACAGAACCAATCTATTTTAATTTTCAACATTTAGTCAATTTATTTATTGTCTAAATATTCACTACCCAATAAATTGTAAAAAGATAGGCTTTCAACTTTAGGACAGAAATGATTCAGAGCCTATGATTTTTAACTCTGCTATGATAAATTTAATTACATGTTTTCTTACTTCAGTTTTCCTTCTAAGACACTTTATAGCATATATTTTAAACATAAAAATAAGTTACAGTTGATTTCTTTTGATATGTCTCTCAAGATAACCTGGAGACACAATGAAATAAAAGTACTGCAGAAGCTAGCCAGTTTGACATACAGTAACAACAGAGATACACATACGAATTAAATACAACAAAATCAAATCACTACAAAAGTTAAGTGCTCTCCCAAAGAAAGAAAATGTTGAGGTAAAGGTACAAGAAAAGCAGGGTAAAAGACAGATGAAAGTAGTCACACGGAATTCAATGTCTGTGCTTTTTTCCCCTCCCATTTATGAGTCAATGATTAACTCTATTCTTACCTTGTTTTTCTTCATCACCACTTTTTAACCCTCTCCCCCAGTAGTGACACACACAACCAATTCATAAAACATTAATTAAACATTAATTTAAAGCTGCATAAAATTAGATAATTTAGCATAATTGATAAAAGACCTTTCTATCTTTTAAAGGACCTTTTGTAAAATAACTAGATAGATTCTAATTATGTAGTCAGAAAATTCCCTGTAAGACAATGTTAATATTGAAAGCTTTGTAACCTGTAGGGTTGTTTTTTTTAACTAATTGATGGAGATACCTTCTTTTTCTTAGAGATAAAACTGGTTTCAACTCCTGCCCAACAAAGTAGTCACATACAACATGGTCTTTAGGCTGCCCAACTAGTCCTTTAGCTACTTTCAGGTCTTGTTTCATTTGATAATGAATTACTAAGAAGTGAGTAATACGGTTTTGTTAATGTTACTTAAGAATCAAAATTGTCTCCCAAACTCTACTTGCCCAAGCCAATTTTGTTAAAAACAAAAAAGGCAGTTCATAAAAATGAACTATTAGTAGTAATAAAATCCCTCTTCCAAATTCATTACAACAAAGCTATCTTATGTCCCAAGAAAATGGGCCATACCAATGTTTTGACACTATGGCGAGAACAGGAATTCTACTAACCTTGGTGTCTCATAGTCTTTTTACAAGGCCCTACCAGTCACTCTCTCTCAGTGGAGAAGGCACCCCATCAAAATAAAACTCATCTGATTTGGGCAGTGTTTTCTATAGATAACAAGTAGTAGTGCTTTGTTTCATGCATCAAATAGAGTCTTGATTAAATATCTTTCACCCTTTTCTTATAGTTCAGGGGACAGTCATGGCCTGCAAAATGAGTTGGATTCTGTAATAGGTGCGGAAAAAGTAATTGTCTATAAGGGGACATAATGTATTATTAGCAAAAAGAATTAGTTATGACAGAATACATTTGCCTATTTTTTGAAGTAGCTCTCTCAAGAGAAGCCCATGGAAATATCATCTTTGTTAAATCTAAAATTTAAACTGTGGGTTGATGTAAAACTATTACAAAGAAGTAGGAATACAGATTTCAGCAAAGATAGGTCGATATGTAATCTACAGAGTGAAGTTTACAAATAAGAATTTGTGATAAGGATGAAAATAAACAAAATGGAAAGATGCCAAGTTATGCAGAGATGTTGTAGAGACTGAGAGGAGAGAGATTAGTCTAAGTGATTAAACCAGAGAGGATGTAGCAGGAAAACTGCCTGAGTTACATGGGAATATGGGATTGACTGCATGCTGAAAGGTTAAATCAGAGAGACAAGATACTGAAAACCATAGATATAGAAAGGATAAAGTTTTCCTAGAAACTCCAAACTCACAAAATATTACCAAGCATTGAGTTTTAAAAAGCATACAGGCTTCTGGAATTTGCAGGGAAACAAAAGAAAGAAATAGCAACAAGAACAGATTAAATTATAGTGGAAAAGGAATAAAACACTGCAAGTAGATATTTTACTGCATCTCTAAAGAGTAACCTTAAAACTAAAAGAATACACAGTAATACACAATATTTTTTAAAGATTAGTTCTCACCAAAAAAAAGTGTATATATATATATATATATAATGTAAATTCCAACAATATTAAAGTATAATCAATGAAAAAGTGAGTTTCCCAACTACACTATATTCCCAAAGTTCCCCTTCCCAGCAGCAATCAATATTAGAAACATTCCAGAAATAAGCCATGAATACATCTGTATATACACAGTCACACTCTTGTGTTTTTAAAACATAAAAGGTAGCATCCTATACACATAGTTTTTAACTTTGCTTTTTTCATTTACTATTTCCTAGAAATAATTCTTTTTCAGTTCATAGAAAAAGGCCTCATTCTTTTCATGGATACATGTATTGCATTATATGAGTATGTACCATAATTTATTTGGTCATCTTCCTACTAATGGACGTTTAAAAACAATGCTAAAAATCCTTGTACATATACCATTTTTGTAAATGTGTATTTTTTTTTTTTTTTT